ATGAACGCTATAGTCAGCACCTGTGGCAATCCATGCCCCATAGCTAGTCCTCTTTCTTGCTTATAGATTCACCCGACCACCTTATGACCCTGGGCGGTTTCCTGTAGCACTCTATGATCTGAGCTGTGGGTCCCAACACATGTAAAAACGCCATGAGGTACGCTGGGCTCAGGGTGTCGACAAACAGCTCCACTCGAGAACAGTTCAGCTTTGTCGCTTCTGTTCGGCAGCTTTCAGAGCTCTTTTGTAATTTGAAAACGTAACCTAATGAATCACAGATATGTAATCGACTCAAAGGCTCCGATAGGCGATTATGCCGAATCATTAGCTGTGAGTAAAAAATCTTACAACCTCGAAAGTTGAGCCGGCTCACGACAAATGACTACTCAATCGTAACGTAATGAAGAGTACTGTTCGGCATGATCACTATCTATGCAAGTGTATTCTCCTATCTCTCTTGCACATAGGTTATATGGAAAGTTCAACCACAGTTCACAGTGAAAGAAAATGACTGACATAACTTTTAAGTTGTAAGCAATTCTTGAGAGAATACCGTCAAGCGAAAGGAAAAAGATGAACAATGCAACAGATTTCCATGCTTAGAAAACTCTAACATATGTTGGATTTCGACTGCTATCCATGAAAATGTTCGTGATGTTTCCCTAGCTTCTCCTTCTTTTCGCTAGCGTCAACCCTCTTAGGGTCTGCTGTTCCAATATCTTGTTTTTGCTTCCTTCTATATGCTGCAGCTTCTGTTGTAACTTTAGCTTCGACGATTTCCTTCTTTGGACGTACTCTTCTTTAGGGCTCCTCGCGACCACTTCCTTGTCACAGATTTGGTTGCGTAAACATCGGATGATTCTGCGTACTTCTCAGAACGGGTAACTTTCTTGTCGTAAGCTAAATAGGGAATCATCATCTCGCAATCACGAGATTGCTTGACGACGTCATCGAAAGGCCCTCCGGTATAGTTACTCTCCCGCGGTCGGATAGTTGAATACGACCAGAGCGCGTTACTGAGAAATGGGCAAATATGGTTGAGCGAAAGTTTTGAACTTTATTTCATCATCATTTCAAAGTCTTATTTCCGTTGAAAAAGGATCTCAATCGGTAATATAGTCTCCATCGCAGCCTCCATCCGTCCATCGATCCCGCAATTTGTCAATTTCTGAAATAAGAACGACGGCGGCCCCGATTCGAAAAAGCTGGAAATCTGTTTTGAGTGGCGAGCAATCACCAAATTGTCTATCGCAAAGTTGTTGTTTCAGAGCAAGAAACAAACGGTAATCGGTCGTAGCAAGACCTGGCGAATAAGGAGAATGGGACAGCGCTTCCCATCCAAGTTCGGCAATTTTCCAACGAGCCAGTTTCGCAACATGCAGTCGAGCGCTGTCGTGAAAAAGAAATATCTTTCCTCGCTGCGGACGCTTCCTTCGAATAACGTCGGCCAAACTCTGCAGCTGAGAAGCAGAAATCTCGGCGGTCACGTTGGAACCACCAGGAAGTTATCCTAAGTGCGATTCTCATCTGAGCTTTTGAGCGCACCACAGACATCTGCGACAGTCGTCGATGGATTATGCCCTCACAGTAGTTCGGAACAGACAATAGCCCTCACACAGCTTCGGCCAACCGCTGAAGGTTGAAGTCATATTTGCGGATTACAAGGGTATGTTTATATGTATATCCCCCTGAAGTACAGATTTGGGAACAGTCTACCATAGCCTATTACGAGATCCTCCCGAGTGACACAATGAAATAATCTAGAAAAGGATGAAGAATCAATCAACTTCCTACTCAACCTAATACATCAGAAAGTAATGAATGTGTACCTATACACAATAAGAAATAAAGAGTATTTCAGTGAGTAGAAACACGTCCGAGAATTGACTCCCATGCAGACAGAAGAGTTGAAGAAGCTGAATTTCGATATAACAAAAACAATCGGGACTTACTCTGGAGACTCCATCAGGGTCGTGTCGCGACAACAAATGTAAAGTTCAAAGATATATCATATCATAGGATACGTCTTGAAATGATTGAAACGCTAGAGATCTTTTTGTAGGAGAAACGAAAAAGATCAAGGCTTCAACGTTTCACATCTCCATGTATAAAAATACGAGCAAGAAAATGAATGTCAGAAGTTACTTTGTAGAATATTGTCTTCAAACTCAAACGTAGCTATATCGAGATCGCAGTGGGCTGCACAGTGCGCGACGTATGCGGCGCGACCTAGTTTCATCGACGGTCGAATCGATGCTTCCCCAATCGGCCTGACTTCATCGTATTGACCCTGTCCTTTCAGCGGAGCGAGTGGCCTTCCGTGACTTCAGATTGGGGGTCGGCACTCGTCATCGTGAACACTACTGTCCGATACCACCTTTCTTCGAGCATCCTGGAGCATTGTCGACTGCAGAGGTCAACAGTGGACCCGGTGCGCTTTACCCATGCACCGTCTGATTGGGCCTTCAGCCCGCTCCACCTTACCATCTGCGGCCAACAATCAGAGACTTGTCTCAGAGTTCTTTACCTCCACTATCGGAGCGATGACATTTGAGGGTGGTTTTCAGCAATCCATCCATGAACACTCTCGCAATGACATTCATTGTATTAAGGTGTCCGGAAAGTTTCGAGAAAATTTTGCCTCTCGACTTTAAAAGATTGTTGAATTCGGAATTCGACGTGATCGTTCCCAGCAAGTAATCGTAGACCAAAAGATGTCCGCTGTCCTCAAGAACCGACACTGTTCTGGCTTCTCGTCAGAGCAATCCTGCTCGAAGTGGCAGGATTTGGAGAAACGATATCTACTCCTGAATCATCATCCACGACACTCTACACAAACGTCACTCTCAAATCAGGACTCTTTGCAAATATCGCACATCCTTGACTGAGCAGGATTGTCGAGCGCGAGTCAGTGTTTATCAAAAGCTCCTCGACTGGAAGCGAACGACGACATCAACCGAATCCATCACTGCTCAAGATATAAAGTAGATGTCATAAACATTCACACAGAAAATCGTAATGCCTGACAGTGGACGTATGGTTACAGCCAGCTATAAAGCGAGACGCTTTGACCAGGAAAGACATGAGCTCATTCTCCCTCTGCTCAACCGGTGTTTTACTGAGAGTTTCGACCAGAGTGTACCGCGATAAAAAGATACTCTATCACAAACTGAGAGAGATGGTGTTTCGAGCATTCATTTCACACCGATTACAAGGAAGTTTTCACTTGTGGTGGATAGCTTCGACCACCACTTGCGAGGACGTCGATGGATGATCTGAAAAGACTTGGTATAACCTGATTCCCACATATTCATCTGACCTTAGCCCATATGGCTGTCATACCTTCCAGTGACAATAATTCTGCTCTACATGGAAAAAATCTATCAATTGTCGAGAAGTCAAGTAGGTATTTGATGAATGAATTACGTCACGTCTCTGTTCATGACGGAGAAATGGCTTTAATGCCCTGTACGGTTGATAGAGAGACATTGTGGCTAAGATGGGCCACTACCTTGATTAGTGATCTGAGTTTATTGTTGTAGTTATTTTGTATTCAAAAGACCTGCTGAATTTTCTCAACACTTTCCGGACAAGCGCAAGCGTATCTTGTTACCCTGGCTGAATGAGGTGGTGTTTCGGACCCCCATTTTACACCGACTACAGGGAAATTTTTGATTGCAATGGATAATGCTCGATCACCCTGCGCGAAAACGTCGATGTATGAGCTAGAGAGACCTGGTGTACCCTTGCTAACCCGCTCGCAACATGTTCACCTGACCTTAGCCTATATAACTGCCATAATTTCAGAGGCCCATAGGCCTGCTCTACGAGAGAAAAATTCACCAACTGTTGAGAAGTCAAATATATAATACCTAAACGAAATGCTCCACGCCTGTCTTCATATTTGAGAAATGGCACCAATGCCCTGTTCAGTTGATGAAGAGACATTGTGGCTAGGAAGGGCCACTATCGTGATCACTAATCTAAGTTTGTTGCTGTAGTTATTTCGTGTTGAAAAAACCGGCTGAATTTTTCAAAACTTTTCGGGCACCCTCATGGCGTCAGCCGATATTTCTCTGTTATAAGATGCAAACATGATGGACAAGTCAGTCGCTATCGCTTTACTCACGCCATTGGCTAATTTCTTTTCAGGGATGTATTGGGCACCTGTAGTCCAGTCCCTACAACCATGTTAGTATTTCATCATATGCAAGTGGGATCGAAGCAAATTACAAGAAAAAAACAGGTGGCAGTTTCAAAAGAGCTTTAATACGCATAATCACAAATCAAGCATTACTGAAATTAGAACAACCTATTGCTGAACAAGCCCAGTTGAAAACTAGCAAATATAACGACAAGGAGGCGAATTACAAATATCAGGCAATTATTTATGAATACTTTTCAAGAACCATTGTCTTGGCCTATCAGCGACTTTCAAAATGCATCGATTTTCGCTTCATTAGACTTCAACTATGTGTACTGTCTAGATAATAAAATGCACAATTAAGTACCACCATTCCGATGAGATCCGAGCAGAGGCCTATTCAAGGATCGTGACGAACTCAGTTGAATGCATGATTCCCCTAGTTCCTCACACTCACCTACATCACTTAAAACGACGGAAATAATAATCATTCACTAAGGATTCGTTGAGAATTCTGTATCTTCTGTCAAGTTTTCATTTGCTGAACCAAAGGCGGTAACTGACAGTTGAGCACCAACGAATTCCTCGAACAAAACCGATTCAAAGGCATGACCCGGAATTTCCACACTGATAACTGAGTGTCGAAATTGCAAGCAGTTGCCAATTCTAACTGATCAGCTTAACAAAAGAGAATAAAAGTAGGATGATAAGAACTAACTTCAGAACTTAATAACGCTTAGAAAAAAAAAGCGTACAACGAAGGCTCGTACTTGATTGGCATTTTCAACAAACAGAGCAGCGAGTCATGAAAGGCATACTACTAAGAACTGGAGATAACCACATTTGAAGCGAAGTGTCACTCTTTGAGAACAATTTCAATTTTCTCTTTCCATGCCTCAGCTACGAGACGGCTTTCTGCTAGTAGAGAGTAGACACGTTTTTTCGTACGCAACTAAACAGTAGCACTTATTCATGACAGTATCTTATTGAGCAGGAAAATCATATACTTAATTGTCCGAGAGCTGTACCCTATAAAGTCTAATCCGAAAGGAGCGCTATGCTGTTGACTATGTATCAGGAAGGACTACGTCGCGCACAACTCAGCTACTCACGTCGAAACCCTCTAATCGCTTTTCGCATACTCTCAATCGAAGATGTAAATACTTTTCCACCAAATTCATATGTACTACTAACAATAAGTGTTAGCTAAGTTTTGTAAAACTCTCGACTCGAAAACGCGGAAATCTGAATAATGTCTTCCATGATCCAAGTTGCCTGGAATGTGAGGAAAGTAATACGCCATCCACGTCTTTCGTTTTTACCTCAATCGTGAATGAAAAACAATTCAAAATTTGGCAGAGTAGAAAACAACAAAAGTAGAATTGCCAAAGAAACATCTCCCGAGAAGAAGGATCGCTGGCAACACACCTCAAGAATGGCCTTGCTTCCATTATTCTCCACCTCAACGCTACCGACATCACATAAGTCGATGTAACCACGACATTCCAAATCATATTCCGATTCATAGTAGTACATCTGTAATTAACAACATATTTTCTCGATAATACCTCTGTCAACAATCAAGCAGCAAAGATATTAGAAAAACACCGACTTGGAACATACGAGAAATTCTCAAGCCAAAAAAGTGAAAGACTTTCCTCGCGAAAATGCCGTACTTCTCCAAAGTCACTATTGGGTGAAAATGTAGTGTAGTTGGGGAGGGGGGATCGCACCTAAAAATGTAGGGGGCTCTCCGGCGCGTGTCGCGTGCGCAACTCTTGGCCTATTGCCAAAAGTGGTATACTCTCCTGGGTGTGCGAATAAATTTTCGATCGCACCTAATCAAGCTCGCCTCGCACCTAAGCGCGAAGTGAACTTAATTAGTGCGAAAACTAGCTATAATTATGCTGCCCCTCCCCCTCGCTACTAATCGAGTTACAACTTGCCGACTAGGAGGATAACGACAGTTAAAAAAAAGAATCTATTAAAAAATGTTTTTTTAAAGAAAAAGTTCCAATATCAATTTCGACGATTTGGGAGTTTTATTTACACGCATAATAAATAATTTCGATATATCTCATTTCAAGTTCCTGGAAAATGGGTAAAACAGTTCAGTTCACTTCTTTTTTTGGTATTTTCGCTTATTTGTGATATCAAGCAACCTTTATGGAAGCGATGTAGTTCTCTAGTGTTGTTTAATACTAGGACTACTCTTCATCGAGGACTATTCAACTAGTTGGGTGAGTGCTTTAACTACCACTGCTTACTTTATATCCATCACCATGTATTCTGGAGACACACTGTACTGTTTCGATGAACTGACAGGGTGTCCTCCCGCTCCTAACTGTTTAGGAGTGCGCGATCAATGTGGCCCATTTCCTCCACTTTTCAGAGCTTTTCCGTGCTTTTCACTTTTGCTCCGGAAGCCCTAGCACTACAAAATAATTTTTTCGAAAGTTTTGCGTGTACACAGCCTTCTTCAATTCAGATAGATCCCGCATCACAACCTTGGCCCTACACGTTTCCTGCACCCACGCAGCCTTATCCAATGCACCTGAATTCTGTGACATAGCAATCGCTCTGCACGTTTCCTGACCAACGCAGCCTCCCCTAATAGAGCTGAACACACAACCCCCTTCAGAATCGCTTCCTTATTCTGTAAATACACTTCTTTCTGAGCCCCTATCCATCCTATTTCGACCGTATGTAATATTTTACATTTTCCTAGGTTTGATGAACTTCAACAGCGAGGAGCAAGTCGATGGAAATACAAGAATCTTGTATAAAGATGTCCAGATTCGTAATAATCAAAACTATCTGAGTTATTTCTACTTATAAATTCTTATTACCATTGAATTGAACCCTTTTCTCCCATATCACACAGACTTTCTTCACAAATATATTGAATTCATTTAGCATGCGTGTAAATAAAACTCTCACAACCGTTGAAATTGATATTGGAAACTTTTCTCAGAAAAAAGAACATTTTCTAATAGATTTTTTCAAAACTGCCATTACCCTCCTTAGTTGACAAGTTTTAACTCGATTAGTAGCGAGTGCGGGGAGCGTAATTACCTAGGAGTCTTCGCATTTAATTAAGGTCACTTCGTGCCTAGGTGCGAGGCGACCTTGATTAGGTGCGATCGAAAATTTATTCCCGTACCCCACTCTCCTCAACTGGGAGTATTTTGCTACTGATTTCAACAGGAATGCGTGAAAAAACTTTCTTGTGATCATCCCACTCTTATTGCTTGATATTCCGGCTAGGTTAGGAGTATATCTATGTTTCTAAGCTCTTCATTGGTTGCGGCAATTCCTCTCCCTATTCGGTCACCTACATATATTCGTTATAGTTCCTGCATTTTTGCACATTAAATGTCACTTGCAAGGGTTCATTCTAATATAGGCTCTTCCAGAAGTAAAAGTACGTTTCTCAATTTTGATTTGAAGAAGATTGGAGATCGAACCACCACAATAGGAATAGAGATACTACCCCTAACTCTGCTTCCATCGTTTTCTAGTGTTGCAGAGGCTTTTACAAACGGAAGTATTGTAAATCCTCTATCTTCACTTCGAAAATAAGAAGGCCTTTCGCCCTTCTCAAGAAATCTAGCGAGTTCCTCACACCTAGCTGTCGTGATTGCTACCACTTTATCTCATGTACTGATGCCATGATTCCATAAGGCGAAAACATGTCTGGACTTATAATCTCAAAAGGTAAAAAACATGTGTTTGTTTCTGTTGAAATGAAACAATATAATAGGTCCACTCAACTAATGGAATTCTGAAAAAGCGAGATAAAGGCACTGTTCACGAAAAAATGGTTTCTGTGATTTGCGCATGGTTAGAATTCGACGCCCCCTCTGATACCATTTGTGCAGGAATGAGGTCGGAAAACGGTCTGGATAGGGCACAATAAGGGCAGGAACAGTGGGGGACGGGAGGCCTCCGCCCCTCGCTAAACTGACTACGAGTCTAATTGCCGTTCATCACTTTCGCATTAGAGCGAGTTGTCTGCTTGGGTGTGTTGTCTGCTAACAGACATTGCGTCGCCTTCGTGCACTCGCCCGAACACTCCCTTAACCGCCGTTCTCCCAATGTGAAACTCGTCCGACCCCCTTTCCAGCTCTTTTTTGACCCTTTCTATTTCTTTTTGTTCATCTTTTTTTGCGCTTTTTTCGTTGTTATCGCTTTATTCTAGAGTAGTTCTACGAATTCCCGTCGAAAAAGGGTACCCTGAATTTATCGTAAACGGTGCCTTTAAAATGAGTGAATATGGAGGCCAAGTTCTATATGAATCCAATCCCATTCGTCCACTTATCCTTCTCATCATCCCACATACACTAATCTCGTAACTTCGATCCACCTTGCAATATCATTTCATCATTTACAGGCTTATTTGAACGGCTCCATCGCATGAGCCTCATCCGTGGTATTTTGCCAATCCTACGATAGTTTTTGAGGATAATCAAAGTTATCCGCAATCATTCCTGCTATCCTAGAGGACTTTAAAAGCTGCTCTGACGGCATTGGGGTGAAAGGAGGTAGACCAACTTGCCCATACAAGAAGGACACTCTCATGCTGAAGGTGCCTGTGAGAGTGAAGAGCTTAGGAGCACGAATAAACTCCTGAGCAAGTCAGCTTCACAGTACCATTAACAAACATTAGGCAGTAACAGCGAGATGATCATAATAAAGTGTTTCCCAAGCATTCTTGTAGCAATCGGTAGCAAAATACTTCCAGTTAAGGAGAATATACCACCCTTGGCAATGGGCCAAGAGGTGCGCACGCGACACGCGCTGAAGAGCCCCCTATATTTTTAGATGCGATCGGGAGAGGGGGGGGGGCAGCCTTTCGAATCACTAGCGGCTAGAGCGCAGAGAAGACAGAGTAGCCGAGCCCGCAATGATGCTTAGGAACGTTTCATAGCTTTTTTATGTTATAATTGTATGTATATATAGTAGGATATTTTTGCGTATTTTTTACCTATATGAGGAGCTCTAGAGTTTGTGAGCCAATTGGATGTTCAATTCTTATCTTTACGCAGCTTTTTGGACGAGATAACCATCTCACCCACCCCGTAGCTCGTCTCCTTCTTAAAAATAGGTAAAAATAATATTCTTCTGGCTAAAAAGCATCTCTATAAACAATTAAGGCCGGCTACCCCTCCTACTCTGCGTTTTAGTCTTCAATGATTCAAAAGGACACTGCCCCCCCTCTTCCCTAACTACATTTTCACCCATTGTTGTTATAATATTTTCATAATGTGTTTCCAATGGAAGCAAGTAAAGTGATGATCAACTAGTTCATTACAGTGACACTCACTTTGTGACTATTAGCTTCAAGTTCGAACCAACGCGGTGCCCAAAATTTGAATTTGGCGCCTTTCTTGCTAAGATAACCCTGATAGAGAGGAGCTAGCGTACGCGATGGTGTTTTAGCTCCGTGACTGATGGTTAAAGTTCGGCCGCCAGTTCCTGAACAAACACATCAAAACCTACATTACATTACATGAACACAAACCAACCGAATGCTCACGAATGCGAAGAAGAGCAATGGGAACATGCCTTACACACAAACCAACTTTATATACGCCAGGCTGACGCCGGGCTCTCTCAACTTTTATGTCCAGGCTGAAATGTATTACAGGTCATCATTACTCCTCCCTTTCTCTCCTCGAAAATGAGTAGATAGTAGCAGCTTCATATTGAGTAGTACAAATGGCCACCAGTCTGAATCGGTTGCAATCAAAGGTCGCTACGTTTACAGCTGCACTCCCACAACATCTCTACAACTTTCTCAGAGTTGGAACACTGTGCGACTGAAGCGAGCAAAGCTGCGATTGGTCGGTCATATACACAGCAAATCGATGAAGCAAATCGGTGTATCGGCCAACACGCCCACAGCGTAAATCCCACCGACCAAGAATGCTCTATATTCGAAGGGTGCACAGATATGAATAAACAGTGCATAATGTGGAGGCTTCTGGATAGAATTGTCAATTTTGGATTTCTCACACCCTAACACCTTTTAGTCCCGGGAGCCCAGTCCTGCCTTCTACCATTCCCATGTTGCCGCCCGTATCACCTCCAAAGTTGAACGCTCCAGCTTATAGAGAGCAGTTTGGCGCTTGCCTCCAGTAGGCAGAATCTAATTGTGCCACGAAACGCATAAGCATTCCCCAATCCATGGGAGCAAGAATTACGTGCTTCTGATGGTAACCAGGATGGGTGCTTGAAGACTTGGGTGTTTACCCTTTCGATAACAATGAAGCCCAGGTGGTTTAATATGTTTATCGTAAAAAGAGAGATATAAGCGTGGGCGGGTGGACCGTTCCCAACGCTTGGCAGAATTGCAAGTACAAGAGTGAATGGTACGAGTAAAAGTGAAGCCAGCACGAGCCTAATCCTGCGCTCCGCCCTCTCGAGAAGCCACTCGAGGGGTCAGCTATATGGGACGACACTCCCGCGAAGCAACAAAAATGAACGAGTCATGCACATCAAATCTTCTAAATCTGAGCGGTTTGTTGGCAGCT